TTTGATATTTCCCTTTAATTCATATTCAGTTACCTAGTCCTTTCGATTCTATTTCTAAAATAGCTCTTGTATTTATATTCTTTCTATTGTGACAACCTCATTTACAGAAGTCCTCATTCAAACCAATCAGTCAACAAGCATTTGTAAAGGAACTACCTATTATGTGCCAGGCACTGTGCTAGACACTGGGAATACAAACACAAAAGTGAAATAGTTCCTAACCTCAAGGAGCTTACCTTCTTGTTTATTTTTTTTTTTAAATGAGTCTCCTCATTCAGATGGAGGAGAGGATATGGGATGTCGGAGGGGTCAGGGTGTCTATTTATGGGCCTGACCCCACCACTGACTGGCATAAAAGCTTTGACCTGCTGTATTTAGAGCTTGACCTGGGCCACCCTAAGCCACCCAGTTTCCCCCCTGCCCCATGCTCCTAAAGGCTAATCAAACTGACTTTGTACTCAGTACTACTGGTTAAGCTCAGCCCACTGCAGTTCAGAATTCCAGGGCTGAAGAGATCCACCAGCTTCTGTGTCACTAGTAGCTGGGATTAGAAGTATTTGCTCCCAGGGTCAGCAAGAGGCCTACATTCTCATATGGGACATAAATACATACCTACAGACATTTATTTTTATTTATTTCTTTATTATGTTATTTATTATATCTCATATTATTATATTCTATATTATAATATATTATGTTATTAAAATATATTGCACTAACATTATGTATTATGTAATTATATTATATATTTTTTTTCTTTATATACACATATACACATGCATGTATACATGTATGTGTATACATGTATATGTGTGTATGTGTATGTATGTATATAAAGAATAAAGATAAAGAGAATACAAATACTTACAAAGCAGTTATATATAAGGTACTCTGGGTTGGAGGGCACTGACAGTTGGAGTGATCAGAAAAGGTTTCATACAGAAGGTGGTACTTAAGCTTAATCTCTGAAGGGAGAGAAGGAGTCTACGTGGCAGAGGTGAGGAAAAGAGAACATTCCAGGAATGATGGACAACCAGCGAAAAGAAATGGAGACGACATGCAATGTCATTTCAGAGAAAAAGAAAGACAAGCTAGAAAGACAGGATGAAGCCCAGTTATAAAGAGAGGGAATATGGCACCTCTAGAGTTTATTAAATAGGGCAGTCACATACATGGTCAGATGTTCATTTACAGAGAAACGGGACATCCATATTATCTTTCTTTTCTCAATCAAGTTCTTCACTACTCTTTCCTACACACTGTTGCTAAAGTATATGGGACTACCATTGCAAAAGTAGAGTCTGGAAATGAAGTGGCATGTGTGAGGACTAGAGGACTAGAAAGAAGCCCAGTTTAGTGACACTGTAGAGTACAAGAGGGAAAGTAGTGTCCAATGGAGATGAAAAGATAGGTTGGGGCCAGATTGAGTAGGGTTTAAAAGTTTTATAGAGGAGTTTATACTTTATCTTTGAGGCATCTGAAAGTCACTGGAGTTGACTGAGCAATGTGTAACGAAATCAATGTTTAAGGAAAATTACTCTTGCAGCTGTATGTCCTGTATGTCTTACTGTCCTATAGCTTACCTTCCTTTCTCAGCCAAAGTCCTAGAAAAAGTTGCCTATACTTGATGCCTCCACTTTCTCTTCTCTCACTTTTTAAATTAATTTTATTTTTTAAATTATTGATTTATCAAGGATTAAAATTTAAAAATTTTAAAATATAAAGGACAGTACAGAAGAATCTGTGAAACTAAATCAATTCTAAACCCTCTGCATTCTGGTTTACAATCTCACCGCTCAACTGAAGCTGCTTTCTCCAAAATTACAAATGAGCAAACCTAATGCCTTTTTTGGGTCCTCATGGTTTTTTACCTCTCTGCAACATCTGACAATGTTGACCATTCTTTTCTTCTGGATATTCCCTCTTCCCTGGGTTTTTGTGACACCTTTCTTTTGCTTCACTTACTTGTTTGACTGCTCTTTCTCATTCTCCTTTGCCAGATTATCAAACATGTTACTACACCTAACCGTGAGTGTATCCTGAAGTTGTGTCCTACGTTCCCTTCTCTTCTCTCTCTACCCTCTCCTTGGTAATTTCATCAGTTTTCTTGAATTCATTAATCACCTCTATACAGATGACTCCCAGATGTACATATCCAGCCATAGTCTCTTTTCTGACCAAACGACTATTCAACATTTTAAAATGGATATCCCATAGGCATCTCAAATTCTGCACATCTAAAACAACTTGTCATCTCCCCATGCTCTCTATACCTACCTCACTTTCTAACTTTCCTCTTTCTGTCAAGGGCACCACCACTGTCACAGTCACTCAGGTTCAAAACCTCAGTGTTATATTCAAATCATTCTTACTTACCGCACACAACCAATAAATTTCCAAACCCTGTTTCTAATTTCACATCGATTATATACTTCCCTTTCTGCAACTCACCAGGATAGTTGCAATAGCTTGCTTATTGGCCTTCCTGCCTAAAGTTTCTCCCCACCCCATCTATCCTCCACACAGCTGCCAAGTGTAAAGCACAAGTCTAAACGTGTAAATTCCAGTGGCCACCTATTACCTGTAAGATCAAATATAAACTCACCTTTTGGACACAGAATTGCTCTTCATAACCTAGGCTCCATATTATCTTCATTAGCTTCTTACCATCATCCCCCTCCATGCATTCTACTGTCCAGTTATACTGGCATACCTGCTGTTTCCCACAAAAAACATTCCATCTTTGGTTTCCATCCCTTTGCATTAGCTGTTCTTACTCATCTCTGCCTCTTGGAATCCTTGGTTTTCTTGAAGGCGGGATCTAAATGCTTGATTAATGTATCTTCTCCATACCTAGAATGTTCTTCTATTCAAATTTTTGCTCACATATTCTTAATCCATTTCCATCATTTAAAGTCTAACACAAATTGTGCATACCCTTTGACTCAGCAATACCACTTCTAGGTCTGTATCCCAAAGAGATCATAAAAATGGGAAAAGGACCCACATGTACAAAAACAGTTATAGCAGCTCTTTTTGTGGTGGCAAAGAATTGGAAATTAAGGAGATGCCCATCAACTGGGGAATGGCTGAACAAGTTGTGGTATATGAATGTAATGGAATACTATCGTGCTATAAAAAATGATGAGAGGCAGCTAGGTGGCACAATGGATAGAGCACTGGCCCTGGATTCAGAAGGACGTGAGTTCAAATCCTGCCTCAGACACATAATACTTACTAGCTGTATGACCCTGGGCAAGTCACTTAACCCCACTGCCTAACTAAAAAAAAAAAAGATTTACAAAGAACTTCATAAATATCTTCACACTTGGTGGTGCTATAAGAAATGATGAGACTGAAGTCAGGAGCTCCTGAGTTCAAATCTGCCTCAGACCAAACACTTGACACTTACTAGCTGTGTGACCCTGGGCAAGTCACTTACCCCCCAACTGTTTAAAAAAAAAACCAGAAATGATGATCAGGCAGACTTCAGAAAAACCTGGAAAGACTTATATGACCTGATGCTGAATGAAGTGAGCAGAAACAGGAGAACACTGTACACAGCAACAGCTATATCGTGTGATGACTAACTTTCACTGACTTGACTCTTCTCAGCAACACAAGGATCTAAGACATCTCCAAAAGTCTCATGATGGAAAATGCTGTCCACATCCAGAAAAAGAACTATGGCATCTGAATGCAGACCGAAGAATATTATTTGCCCTCTCTTTTTGTTTCTTCTTTCTCGTGGTTCCTCCCATTAGTTCTAATTCTTTACAACACAAATAATGTGAAAATAGGTTTAATATGAAATGTGTATGTTGAGCCTATATCAATTTACATGCCATCTTAGGGTAGGGGAGGGGAGAGACAGGGAGAAAATCTGGAACTCAAAATCTTAAGGAAGTGAATATTGAAAACTAAAAATAAATAAATTCATTTTTTAAAAATAAAGCCTAACAAAATGTCCTAACACCAAGAAGCCTTCCCTTTGGTAATAACTTCCCCTACCCACTTTATAAGTTTTGTTTATTTCTCTAATACACTTATTTTTCATTATTTTGCAATATGTTTATATATGTTTCATATTCCCTATTAAACTCTGAGCTCTGTTGGAGGGGGAACCATGTTATATTTTAAGTTTTGTATATCCCTCAACGTCCTTCATATTTTGTTGAAATGAACTGATAGATATGTTAATATGGTAGAGGGGATGAAGGGACAGAGAAAGATACATTGTGACTTGAGAGATCCTTGAGGTTGGGACTGTTTCATTTTTGTCTTTGTATAACCAGCGTCTAACACAAATGCTTAACACAGTAGGGGCATAGTAGGGATGGCTACATGGGGAAGGAGGATGAGAGAACAGGGATGACTATACTGGAGGCAGGGGTAAGAGGATGAGGATGGCTACACACGAGTGAGGAAGTGAGAAGAAAAGATGACTGACTACATTGAGAGTGGGAAGTAAGGGGGCAGGGATTAGGGATAGATACACAGAAGTGAGGGTGAGAAGTCATGACTACACTGAGTTGGGAAGAGGGGAGGGGATGGGAATGGTTACTCTCAGGAAGGGGAATGAGGGGACCGGGATGGCTACACTGTGGGTGAGGAGTGGGGAGTAGGGATGGCTACACAATGGGTGGGGAAGTGGGGGGCAGGGATTGCTACACAGAGGGCGGGGAGGTGGGGGGGCATGGATGGCTATACTTTGGGCGGGAGGCAGGGATGGCTACACTGCGGATGGGGAGTGGGGGGTAGGGATGGCTAAGCTGTGGGTGGGCAGTGAGGGGAAAGGGTTGCATATACTGGGGGCGGGGGTCAGGGGTGGCTAGCAAGAGAGAAGCAGGATAAGAACAGAGCTGAGGGTTACTCAGGGAGTCGGTGGGATGAGGGTGGACAGGTGGGGGAGCTGGAGGAACCCGTCCTCAGGGACACCACCTCCCGGGGGCCCCATGCTCGCTCTGCCTCCTCCCACCTCTCGGTGCCACAGGACTCACCTTCGTCAGGTGACACTGACCTGGGACCCTCATGCTCCGGGTCCTCCCCAGCCAGGCGTCGTGGGCGGGGACGACGAAGACGAGCCCCGCGCGCAGAGGATTGTGGGAGCCCGTTCCCGGCACTGCCGCGGGGGCCAGTCAGCGCCGGGTAGCAACAGTCGTCAAGGCTGCCGGCACGGGGCGGGGCAAGCGCGGGCAGAACAGCCACAAGTGGCTCTGGACGTAGGAAAGTCAGGATCGGAAGTGAGCATACGCGCTTCCGGTTGGCTCCGGATCTTGCTTCGAATTTCCTCTGTGGCCCGCGCCGGGATGCGTCTTGGGCGCTGAAGGCATGGACGGTGAGTGATGACGGAGTAAGGCCTAAACTGTTGGGGTGTTTTTAAAATTCGATTTTATTTTATTTTCAGTTTCAAATTCTCTCCCTTCCCCCTTCCTCACCCTCAGCCATTGAGAAGACAAGAAAAACGAAATCCTTAACAAATATGTAGTCACACAAAACAAATGCTCACTTTTGCCTTGTCCAAAAGAAAGAAAAAGGAAAATGTGTTTCGGTCCATTAGCTCTTTCATCCTCTCTGGAGGTGGATGGCATGTTTCATCAGGAGTCCTTTATAGTCGTGATCATTGTGTTGATCAGTTATTAAGTCTTTCAGAGTTAATTGTCTTTAAAGTATCGTTGTGATTGTATAAATTGTTCTCTTGGTTCCGCGCATTCCACTTTGCATCAGTTCGTACAAGGCTTCCCAGGTCTTTCTGAAAGGATCCCCTTCATCATTTCTTACAGTATTTCATCCTAGTCATATACAGTAGCTTGTCCAGGTACTCCTCAAATGATGGCATTCCCTCAGTTTACAATTCTTTGCTGTCACAAACAGAGGTGCTATAAATATTTTTGTACTTATGAGTCCTTCTATTTCTTTGATCTCTTTGGGTTATTGACCTAGTATCAGTATTACTTGGTCCAAAGATGTGCACGGTGTGATACTAGCTTTATGGGCATAGTTCCAAATTGCTTCCATATAGACCAGAATGGTTGCACTATTTCAGAGCTCCACCAACAGTGTGCTTGTTTTCCCACAGACCCTCTGACGTTTGTTCTTTTATGTTTTTGCTATCCTAGCCAATCTAATGGGTTTGAGGTGGTATCTCAGAGTTGTTTTCATTTGCATTTCTTTAATTAGTAGTTATTTACAGAATTTTTTTCATACTGCTCTTTACAAAACTGCCTATTCATGTCCTTTTACTATTTATCAATTGCAGATTGGCTCTTATTTTTGTAAGTTTGATTCAGTTTTCTGTATATCCTAGAAATGAGATCTTTATCAGAGAAACTTCCTGTGGAGATCCCCACCATTTCTCTCTTTTCTTCTAATTTTAGCTGCATTGATTTCATTTGTGCAAAAGTTTTTTAATTTTGTTATCAAAATTTTCTATTTTACTTCCTGTGCACCTCTCAGTCTCTTGTTTGTTTGGTCATGAACACTTCCCCTGTCCATCGATCTGATAGATAATTTCTTTCATACTGTACTAATTGGCTTGTAATATCACCATTTATATCTAAGTCATGTACCCATTTTGAGCTTGTCTTTATATTTTGTGTGAGTTACTGGTCCATGCCTGGTTTCCACCAGACTGTTTTTTCAGTGTTTTCCCAACTGTTTTTGCTGAATAATGAGTTCTTGCCCCAATAGTAGAAATCTTTTGGTTTATCCAGGTGGAGGTTACAATGCTCATTTGCTTCTGTATATTGTGTACCTGATCAGTTGCACTCATCAGCCTGTCTGTTTCTTAATACCACGTTGTTTTGATAATTACAGCTTTATGGTATAGTTTGAGATCTGATACTGCTAGGCTCTCTTGCTTCCCCTTTTTTTCATTGATTCCCTTAATATTCTTGGCCTTTTGTTCCACCAGATGAATTTTGTTATTTTTCTTGCTTTATAAAGTAATTCTTTGGGAGTTTGATTAGTATGACACTGAATAAGTAAATTAATTTAAAGTAGTATGGTAATTTTTGTCATATTGACTTGGCCTACCCATGAGAAATTAATATTTCTCTAGTTATTTAGATCTGCCTTTATTTGTGTAATGATTTGTAGTTGTGTTCATATAGTTCTTGTGTGTGTCTTGGCAGGCAGAATTCCAAATATTTTATTTATGCTTTCCGTAATTATTTTAAATGAAATTTCTTTCTTTTATTGCTAGATTTTGTTAATAATCTACAGAACTGCAGACAGTTTGTGTCAATTTTATATCCTGCAACTTTGCTGAAGTTGTTTCAGTCAGTTTTTTAGTTGACTCTCTATAGGGCTTTCTAAGTAAACCATCATATCATCAGCAAAAAGTAATCATTTTGTTTCCTCTTTGCTTATACTTCTCTTCAGTTTCTTTTCTTGGCTTAGTGCTGTAGCTTGCATTATCTAATACAAAATTGACTAGTAATGGTGATAAAGGACATCCTTGTTTCAAGAATCCTGATCTTAGGAAAGCTTCTAGCTTATCCCAATTACAAATAATGCTTGCTCTCGGTTTTAGATTAATACTATTACCATTTTAAAGAAAGCTTTATTCTACTCTTTCTAGTGTTTTTAACAGGAACAAATTATTTTGTCAAAAGCATTCAAATAATCATGTAATTTTTGTTATTACTCTGGTCAATTATGCTTATAGCTTTCCTAATATTTAATCAGCCTTCCTTTCTAGTATAAATCCATTTGGTCAAAAATCAATTAGCATTTCTTAAGTGCCTACTTATGTACCAGGCACTTGACTAATCACTGGAGATACAAATAAGAAAAAGACAGTCTCTGCTCTCAAGAAATTTACAATCTAATGGGGACAAGAGGACACAAAAGGAAGCTGAAAAGCAGGGGAGAGTGTTTGAATTTCAGATTTTCTACTCAGCTCTGGTCTTTTCATCAGAAATGGTTGAAAATTCTCTATTTCCTTAAAAATCAAGTTGTTTTTTCCAATGAGATATCTCTTTTCTTAGTGCACAGTCTAGTGTTGCTTATATGTATGTACTCAAGAGGGGATCGAGGGAGTCAGAAACTTTGGAACTCAGAATTTTTAAAAAGAATGTTAAAAATTGTACATGTAATTGGGGGGAAATATTATTAAAAAGAAAAAAGTAATAAAAATGAAAATATTGAAAAATAGAAGATAATGTGACATCTCATTGGAAAAAACTGACCTGAAAAACGAATCTAAATAAGAATCATTAGACTTCCTGAAAGCCACAAAGAAAAAAAAGGGCCTCATACTTTAAGAAACCATAAAACTGCCCAGATATATTAGAACCAAAGGGAAAATTAGAAAATGAGAGAATCCACTGGTCATCTTTCAAAATGAAAACTCCCAGGAATATTAGAGCCAAAATCCAGTGCACCCAAGTCTACAAGTAGACAGAAAAGCTTCAAGTAGCCTAGAGTCACATTCAGGATCACCTATGATTTAGCAGCTATTATAAAGAAATGGAGAGCTTGGAATATGATAATCTGATCTAGAATTATGACCAAGAATAATCTTCCTGACAAAACTGATTATAATCCTTCAGGGGGGGAAAATGGATTAGTATCCCATATCCCCTCTGATGAGGGCGGGGCCCAAGCCAAGATCTTCACCCTTTGCCCCACAGGGAATCTGACTCACAGGCCCCAGACCCTCATCTCCCTTGAAAGCCCTAGCTTACCTTTAGATCTTATTCAGATGCACCTTCAACCCTTGCCGTGAATAGAATCTGGCTCTTGTCTATAGGCCCCAGAAAGGCCTTCCTTTATCTCCTTTTGAAAGTCCTAGCCCCACCTTGATCTTGTGCAGATGCCTTTCAAACTTCTGCCTTCCTGTTTCTCCATTATCTATTCCCATTGTCTATTCAATCTTGCCGACCTCCCCAATTAGAATTGTTACCTACACCCTTTACCCAACCCCCTTCTCTGGCCACCCAAAGTTACTTTAGTATTTAAGATCCACCTTGGCCCTCATTCAGATGCTGAGAATCTCAGGCCCACAAGGCTGAGAACCTCTCATGCCCGCTTGTCCTTATGGGCGTCACCTGGCCTATATGTTGTACCACCAATAAACTTTTCCTCTGGCTGAAGAAGATTTGAGTTGAATTCTTTCAGGCAGGGCCCGGTACCGCAGTCTTGGGGTCCCAGCACCCCAAAACCCCTAGACCTCTTCACCTTCCACATTTATCATTTTCCTTTTCTGTTATATTAGCCAATCTGATAGGTGTGAAGTGGTAGGTCAGAGTTGTTTTAATTTGTATTTCTCTGATCAACAATGAATTAGAGCATTTTTTTCATATGATTTCTTTCTCTGAAAACTTCCTGTTCATATCCTTTGGTCGTTTATCAATTGGGAAATGACTTGTATTCTTATAAATTTGACTCAGTTCTATATGTATTTGCAAAATGAGGCCTTTATCAGAGATTTTTGCTATGAATATTTTCCCCAGCCTTCCCTTTTCTGTCTAATCTTGGTCGCATTGATTTTGTTTGTGCAAAACCTTTTTAATTTAATGTGATCAAAATCAACTGTTTTACATTTTGCTACATTCTTCATCTCTTCTCTGGTCCTACATTCTTCCCTTATCCATTGATTTAACTGGTAAACTATTCCATGTTCCCCTAATTTGCTTATGATATCATGTACCCATTTTGACAATGATTTTCTTATTTGTTTTATTAATCTCTCCCTTGATTTTCAGGATTTCCAATTTGGTGTTTAATTGTGGATTTTTAATTTATTCTTTTTCTAGTTTTTTTAGTTGGGTGTCCAATTCATTGATCTGCTCTTTCTCTATTTTATTGATGTAAGCATTTAGAGATATAAATTTTCCCCTAAGAACTGCTTTAGCTGCATTTCATAAATTTTGGTATGTTGTCTCATTGTTGTCATTTTCTTTAATGAAATTATTGATTGTTTTTGTGATTTATTGTGTGACCCATTTATTCTTTAGGACTAGATTATTTAGTTTCCAATTAATTTTTAATCTATCTTTCCATGGCCCTTTATTGAATGTAATTTTTTTTTTTTGCATAATGATGTAAAAATGATGTATTTAATATTTCTGCTTTTCTGGGTTTGGTTGTGAGGTTTTTATGTTTTAATACATGGTCAGTCAGTTTTTGTGTAGGTGAAGTGTA